ATACTATTGCTGGATGTGCCAGGAAAGACCTTAACGTTTTCTAGTAGGATAATCAAATCTATTACTTTTTTTCATAACTCTATTTTAAAAAAATTATTTATGACACAAAAATAAAAAATGTTAATTATTACGCTCTGATTCATTGCATCTGTTTCTTTCCAGAGCCCTCCACAAACAGTCATCTATTTTAATTTCTATTTTTTTTTTGTTTACCAATTTACAGAATCTGAAAATGTTTCAGTTAAATGACAATATAAACAATTGATATTAAGTTAAAATAATTTACTTATAATGGCTTTAGCTATTTTTAACTTAGCGTCTTCTTTTTTTCCAGAGAATGAAAACAACTCTCACAACTCATTCCATGAAGGGGAGCTATGCATATTTTGATAAATTTACACATATTATTGCTACCTTTGTTTTCAAGATACAATACCTAAATAGTTATTTTTGAAAGTTAACAAATTAAGAATTAATGACTAGAATGTATTAAAACCACATTTTGTTAAAGGAAATTAAGTTACCTTCTTCATTTTGGCTTCAATAGCTTGCAACTAAAACGATTGTTTCTTCAATTGCCAAGTCTGATCAAACTTCGAATTGGAAATGATTTTTCATGTAGCTTTACGTACAAACTATACACGTCAATCTAGCCGACTATTAACACTTTTAGTTTATAGAAAAGTTGTTTATTACTTTTAAACTTTATTATAAGCGAGATGAAACACCTTTTCCAACACGAACTGCCTGTCATGTCAATATGGTCATTGGATCTGATTATTCGATAGATGTGTTCGGTTAATATTCTGCGAGCAATCATATACGAGGTCTATTCCTTTTCTTTGATAAGTACTGTAGCTCAGTGCTACACTTGTAATGCAAAGAAATAGATTCCATCACGAGGGCTTCTGTCAATAGTGTATTTTTTCAGCTCGCAGAGGATTAACGGAACCAACCTGCTGAGCCAGAAGGAAGAGTATAGTCATCTCTTTTGATTTTGCTTTGCACTCTTCTTTGAAGGAACTAATAAAGATAAATTAGACCTGTAGCAGTTGTCTTGTGAAAAAAAATATTTTTAATATTGGAGTTTGATATTTTTGTAGATTTCTGGTAATTTTATAATTTATTGATATTTCAAAATAATATTTAAATCGAAAATAGAATAGCTATACATAATTGCGTTGTTTCTAAAACGTTTATGAGAAATTATTCCAGAAACGTTATTTTAGAGACATCGTAGGGATGTACCATAGATATATAACCAAGACAGATAGGATTATTTACAAAAATTTTGAAGATCGAACGTTGGTGTCCGCGGTAGAAACCCAATAATCTGATTGAACATTGATGCCAAGTTTACGTGCTTTTAACTATAGATATATATAACCAAGACAGATTACACAATTTCTGAAGTCAACGCGGATGATCTTCGACAGAAATGCAATATTTGGATAAAATTAAAATATTGATGCCAAGTTTGCGATGTTTTTAACTGTAGTAATGTTATTGAGTTTGCTTGAAATACTGTTAGGTCTTTAAATTGTCCAAAAAAAAAAATAACGTCTGACAACAGCGGAACTAGAGTAGACCGCAATTGTGGAGGGTCGTATATTGTTTCATTCATAAAATTCCTTCGATACAGTACTAGTCCAGGAGCCAGTGAATTTTTTTCGTACTTGTTTTCCCGGTCCGTGTATAATTAAATAATCTATTCCCAGTGAACTGTATATTTAAAATGGAACGCCAATCTATTAACAAAAGTAAGCCAGATTGAATTCGCGCATTACGTCACATCGATACAAGTGAGATTGTGCATAAAGTGCCTTTGCAGGTCTATTTTGCCAATTTCATGAATTTGTTTTTAAATCATGTTAAATAACTATTTTTAAAACTCAACAAGAAGAAAATCCAATTAACTCTTCCGTTGTGTATATATATAAGATAAATTAACTGTAGTTTTATTAGTAAAGTATTAACACTAAAATTTTCCATAAAAACGACCCCATCTCAAGCAACTTATTTTCACTGATTTAAGTTATCGAGTCAGGTTTTATTTTTGTTTTAATAAATTCAAAAGTATTCTTTATCGTTAATAACAATTTAATAAATGAGAACTACGTTTTTTACATTTTTAATGTAATTTACAGAAAATAGCTAGGTATGTATTTGTTTTTAAATAATTTGACAATTTATGAAAAAAGGGTGTAAAAGTGGAATGACCAGTGGCCAGTAGGTCAGTCAATACAATGTATCATATATTTCTAATATAACATAACTAAAATACCTACATCTTTTAATCATAAGGGCACAAGTTAAAAACCATTTTAATATATGCATTAGAATGAAGTAATAATAACTTAAAGAGACGAGGTCTTAAAGTAATAGCTGGTACAGCATGTTTTTTAAACCTTTCCTAGTTCCTGCTAGAATGAAATCACTTTCTATGAAATGTGTTCTAAAAACGGCATTTATAGCAGTCACTGTCTCAGTCTTAGGTTCTCTTCCTAAAGCCCTCATCCAAGCTGCATACCTATTAAAAAATAACTTAAAAAACATATTATATAACTATATAGTTTTCGGTTCTGGGTGCCCCAAAAGAGGACACTTAGCCAATAATTTGGCCCAGATAGCTAAAACTCAACAGTCATACCCCGAACCAAGACGTATTGCTATCCTTTTAAATAAAAAATAACTAAAAATAACTTACTTGAAAAATGAAGGCGTCTAACTTTACACCAAAAAAACCATACACTTTTTCCCATTGTTGCAAGCACCCGATGACGATTAGGTAAATATCAACTAGAAGCATGTACTTAATGGTTATAATGTTATAAAGCTTATTTTAACACAAAAAGAATAAAGCACTAGTCGAAAAGCAGCAATTAAATATAAATAGACCACAATATTAAAATTCAAATTAAAAACTATAACTATAAAAGACAAATACTCTAAAATGAATAACCATAATAACCTAAAAATCACACTAAAATTGCAAAAACTATTACTGTAAAATCACGAGATTACATCAATAATGCATATGCGTCGGAGTATCGCAAATGTCAAAAGTACAGTGTTTCCATGAGAATGTAGCTATGTTTTTAGCAGTATTATAGGACCATTTCTACCACGCGCATCCAACGATATTGGCGTTCCACAGTTCACTGTATTTTCCTCACACCTCTAGTATAAATGATAAACGAAACTAACAATAATTATAATTAATGTAGAGTAATAAGTGTTTCGTGAATTCTTAATAAAACAATTATTATAAAAAAGTGTAAAAGGAAATGTAATTTGTTTCCCCATTTTCTTCTGTAATATCTTCAATTATTATGTTTAATTTCTATAAATAAACCAACTGGTTAGGTGAAACATTGTGATATATGATTTTATTTATGTGTCCTGTGCGTACACTTTAATATACAAAACACCTGGAACATTCTTTAAATAATTGTGGTCGTAGAAATAATTGTGTACATAACTCGTTTGAAAGTGTATTTTATGCACTTGCCAAATATTTTATCCATACTCACAGAATAATCAGACTATTTTTTTACTTAACTTCAGTACATCTCTTACTACTAAAACTATTTTTATTAGTAAAAAAAAGGCCGTGTTCTCGTATGTTTTGACGCATTTTCGGCCTCAGCCCATCGGATCGCCCCTCTAAATATATATGAATTTTGCTTAGAATTGCTAATCCTACAATTCTCTATCCGTGCTCGCTGCCTGGGAAAATAAATACCGAAAATCGTCACTGTCTCCTGGACTATAGAGTAGATGATTATAAGAACTTCACAACAAATACACTTTTATGAATGGCTAGTTGGGGATGTGGGATGTACCATCCAGAAACATAGAAACATACATGGAATCTAATTGGGATGTTTCTGACAAATCGGTGTTATTAGGGGCTATAAAAACGATTTCTTTGCTAATATATTACAAGCGACGGTCAACCAAAACGGTGATGATGTTACTCGAACTAACTTGGAAATTGCACACGACAGAGAGAGTGAACTCGATGGGATATCGGCTATATATCTTACGATCGGACTAGTTCGGTTTCCGAGTGGTTCGGAGTGGAAGTAGCCACTGTTTACTAGTCAGAGGACTAACAAAAATATCCATTTGACATCTTCTGCGATAATCATCAGATAATTTACATGAATTTAAGTGTTTAAAGCTGGATTCGAATTTCGGGAAAGAATGATAGGTACATTTTAAACTACATGAGTTGTCGCAAATGTTATAAAACAGGAATATTTAAAAAAGTAAATTTACGGGAGTTCATTTTTCAATTAAACTAAAGGAAAATTTAAAAACTTTATCACAATATGATAGCGTTTGGAAATTGTAGAGGGTATGCTTGATAGTCTTATTTTCTTGTTCGCATCTCTAGACTGCGAAGTCAGTCCATAGTGTGGGGGGCTTCCTTTCTTGGTAATGACTAGTCGAAGTGCTTGTAATCAGGTGTGTATTCTGTATTATCATAGGGTTTGTTTGGCTTTCTTTAAAATTTGATACAGACCGTTCGAAATACAGTTGAACATCTGAATAGCAAATTATTCGTCGTGTTCATCGTTTAAACTATTAACTGGTCTTCGGATAGTTCTCCTCAACGTATTTTTGAAGAACCCGAACAAGCCTATAGTCAAGTTACCCAAGAGCCCACTAGCAATTTAATGTATCTTAGCATCTACGCAGTCTAATTTATTCATCCTCTTCATATACTTTCGTTATTTTTATGTAGAGTAACGCTTCTAATAATTATTCTTCTCTAATTAGTTCATATTGTTGTTAATCTTGTTCTTAGTTTATCGACTGTCTGCTTTTCATCTTCTTATCTGAATCGAAGTAAGGAGCATACTAATTTATATCTAATTTGTCAAATATTTCAAATTAAGTTTTGATTCCTTTGACTGTACAGTGAAACTTTCTTTGTTGCTTATCACAAACTAATCGATATTTGATAATTCGATAATTCGATATATTTGCAGGTGACTTAGACTCCAATCAACTAGTACAACAAAACACGGATAGTTTAGAATCTCGAGACGATGACTTGCGGAATTCCTTCGATACGGCCGTATCTTCGTTAACCAGCTCGATGCACCAGTATACAAAGTCGACGTACGCAGAACCGATTACGGATACGGTTTTGACCAATTCGATGAACTCGTCTGCACAGAATCACAACTTGGACAACATCGCACAGAAAAATATTCTAAATACGATGTCGCATTTAGGGGACCAGCACCATAACCATAGAGCAATACAAAAGGATGATAACTATTCCAGAGCGTTAGGTTAGAGCAACTTTTTTTATTTTATTAGAATTTTAGGTCACCTGGTGCTTCTTGGTATATTTTAAGTTAAAGCTCGAACTTGGAAGGTCAGCGATTTAATTGTTTTTTAATTATAATGAAATTAAATATCAAATAGTACTTATTTATATTGTTTTAGCAATAGATAACAGTGGATTTTCTAACTTGACCACCGCCCAGGTACACAACCACGGCAGTATTGGTAACGGTACAAACAATAAGGGTTATTTAAAATCCCAGAATTGTATAGACATCGGTTATTATGGAAATCAGTTAGAAAATGATAAAGGAATTCAAGAGGAGGCTTACTTAGATAGTCAAGACAGCATAGACGAGTACATTGAGGATGAAAATGAAGACGCTATTAGTTATGGTAAGCGTACATTTTATCATAAACGACTAAGCTTAGTACTTTTGTTGGTGACCGTAGCGATAGTGCAAGAAATCTCAAAAAAATTAAAGAACTATTAAAATAAATTGACTATTTATATTACAGTAATTAATTTAGATTCACAATAGTAATTTAGTAACAGTCTTAAAAGATGGACAAATCGAATATATAAAAAATATAATGTCGACATGGCGACATGGGAGACATAAAATATATATCGATACCTAAAGAAATGAAATATTGAACCTACGTAACAATTTACAAAGCGAGACGTTAAACCTACATAATCATTTACGATGCAATTTAGAGAGATATGCTTTATTGTCGTAAAAAAATTTACAAAAATTTTATAGACAAAGCGTGTAACTTAAATACTAAACATATTATAAAAATAACTAAACAGCAGAAAAAACAAACAGAAACAAACAGACAAAATAGGAATAACAATTGCAATGGATATGCAATATCCGTCATTATAATTATTCTAATTTAATTTTTAAGTTTAAATTTAAATTTAAACTTTAATATTTAATTATTTAATTAATGCCATTGTATGTGGAACTCAAATGTCTAAGGTACGTTATAAAATTCTGCTACTGTGTAATATGGTCTTTCTAGAAGAAAAGCTTTAGCCAGTCTTCGGAACTTATCGTATGTATTTATAGATTTTAATTGCATCGGAAGGTTATTATACAATTTTTTGGCATTGTAGGTAATGGAATGTTTTAATAGGTCAGAAGTGGGCATTGTTAAATAAACATCAGTCTCTAAATTTCTTGTAGGATATCTACGAGTCGGTCTTTCGGATAAATTTTGAATGTGCTTGCGAACTAAGCAGACGGATTCGAAAATAAATAGAGCAGGAAGGGTTAGAATTTTGAAATTTTTGAAGTAATTTCGCAATGGGTCCTACTACTTAAACCAAATACATAGCGGATTGCTCTTTTTTGCAGTTTAAAAATAAATTCGAAAAGGTATAAGCTACAAGAACCCCAGAAAGGTAAACGATAGCGAAGGTGAGATTCGAATAAGGAAAAGTAGGTTATTAATGCAGTAGAAGGAGTCAGCTCTTTAGAAACCGATTTAATGGCAAAACATGCGGAGAATAATTTTTTTGCTAAGGTATCTATATGAGCAGACCATTTTAGAGAATCGTCTATATAAAGACCTAAAAACTTGATTGAAGTCACCGTTTGGATCAGATTATTGTTTAAAGTTATAGGTTGTAAAGTACCTCTGTAAGACAATGCTACAGTTTTACTGGTGTTGAAACAAAGTCCATTCGAATCAGACCAGGACTTAATAGTCACTAGATCTTCACTTATGATAGATTGTAATGTCTGCATGTTAGAATTATTCCAGGTTACACTGGTGTCATCAGCAAATAAAGTAATTCTACCACTTATTCTTAAGTCTGTGATGTCGTTGATGAATAATAAAAACAAAATTGGACCTAATACTGATCCTTGAGGTACTCCACAGCTTATTGCTAGATTTGTAGAATCCTCACCATTCGCCCGCACCTGTTGATTTCTATTTTCTAGGTCAGTTTTAAACCATTGTAAAGGAGAACCCCGTATGCCATAAATTTGTAACTTATTAATTAAAATATCATGATTTACACAATCGAAGGCCTTTGCAAAGTCACAAAATACTGAAGCGGTTAAAATTTTATCATTAAGTGATGTGTATATTTCATTAAGAACGGAAAACATTGCGTCGCTAGTGCATTTTTTAGGTAGAAAGCCATACTGATGAGCTGTGAGGATGTTATGCTTGAAAAGAAAGGGCAAAAGACGGTTTTTCATTAGCCGTTCTACTATCTTCGATAAGGTAGGCAATAACGCGATAGGTCTATAGTTACAGGTTTTGGTTTTGTCGCCACCTTTATGAAGTGGGATTATTATAGCTGTTTTTAGACAGTTAGGAAAGAGACCAATTTCAAAGGATTCATTAATCAGTGAAGTTAAAATGTTGATTACTACATCCGGTATATTTAGAAATATTTTGGTGGACAGGCCATCAATTCCACAGGAAAATTTATTTTGGATGTTGTTTATGGTTTGCACTAGTTCATGCTTGTCTACTGGTCTTAGGAAGAAACTTTCAGTGATCCTTTTAGTAGGTAGGAGGAAGGAGAGAGCATCCTGACTCGGAGCTATGTTAGATTTGATATTTTTACTTACATTTACGAAATAATTGTTTAGTTCATCTGGGCTAGGATTTACACTGTTTGAAGAACGGGTTTTATTCCTTAAGTCATTTATTATAGACCAGGTTTCTTTGGAGGAGTTTTTAGCTCTTGCGATGCGATTTTTGTAATAGTTTTTCTTAGCAGATTTGGTGATTTTCCGATACAATATTCTGTAGTTGTTGATATAGTTTAATATTAGGGGATTATCTGTGTACTTTTCAATATACATGAGTGACCTCATATTTTTAGATGATGTTCTTATTCCTTTAGTTGTCCAAGATTTATGACATTTAGTTTTAATGGGGCGAAGGGGGAAAGCTGTATTGAAACACATAATTATTTTATTTAAGAAGTCTAAAAATTTAGAGTCAATATCTTCAGAAAGACCATTCCAATCAGTAGTTAGACATAAATTATAGAAATTTTTGAAATTATGCTTAGAGAAAATTCTACCTAGCTGACGGACTTTTTTTGGAGCTGTACGGGGTATCAAAAATTTGGCAAATACTGCTTCGTGGTCTAAGAGACCTGAGCTAATTACTTGGTGCTCTACATCAACGGGTTTAAAATCAGAGACTACGTAATCTATAATTGTAGATGTTGTTTCTGTGATTCTAGTTGGAGAATTTACGTGCATAGTGAGACTGAATGATTCAAAAATATTGATCAAAGACTTTTGAGTAGCACATACATTAGCAAAGTCAATATTAAGAATGGTATACGATTATACTGACCTTTGGCCTAACGAAAAAAGATCACACAAAAATATTTTATGGTACGACTATACCTTGAAAGTTTCAACAGAAAATGACCTTTCTACGACCAGCACGTTCTAATATTGGCCGCTAATCGGTACACTTCCATATTCCTCGTACAGCGCAGGGCATTCTCTAGATACATTCAGTAAAAGCAGTTATCCCACTCGTAAGAGCGCAAGACACGCATCATAGACATGTTAGATTTTATTAATTATTAAGTCAAATAATTATTTAGTTACCAAGTGATTACAGATAAAAACAATGCCAACAGCAACAACAGCTGATCACACTATAGACACTCAAGGCGACCCAATTCATTCTGCCTGGAGGAGCGCAGACGACGGTTCGCTACTACCCACTATTGACTGCCGATGTTCTTTACCGTACTACAATTAACAAAAATTTGTTTACCTGCTAACAGACAGAAATGAAATTATCGATTATTTCACTACAGACGAAAAGACAGATTCGGTCTGAGAAGTATTGTTGGATGTGTAACATTTTTAAATATGACAGCGAAACATTGCAAACTTTGCAAAGTAGAATATAGCAATTAAGACTGCATATACGTTGGACTTATATATTTAAAAAAATGGATGATTTGGCCAATATCCTGATTAGGGAATCCCTATCTTAATTATTGTAGGAAAAAATGTTCATTGACACACGTTCTTAATTTTTAGGCCAAAACTCAGTTAATCAAGCAATAAAACAGGACTCTCCAATGTCTGTGATACACGTAGATAGTCGAAATGAAGGCACCATTGTAGACCAACCCATCATGCTTGGTACTGATACGTCTCAAGGTAGCGTTATGATGGACCCCTATCATCCAGCGGCAGCTGCCGCTTTGCAGAGGGCGCAACAACAAGCTTCCGGAAGCAATTCGAGACGATCTTCTGCTGCTGATCTGGCTTACCAGGTATGTATAAGAATTTTAAATGTCCTTTATAATTTATTAAGAATAAATGACCAAATTACGAAAAATGATTATGATATATTTCACGAAAAAAAAAAAAACCATATACGAGGTCTTGAATATACGAAAATTTTCGCATGAGCTAGAAAATAGCAGTCCTGGATCACGTTTCGAAGACGGTCACGGTGGCCTCATTCCAGTTGTTAAGATGGAGTGAAGTCACGGAATGAAAAAGTGAGTTGACAGAAAATATTCTACTTGGATTCGTGCGTTAGTTTTTTAAAAAATCTGATATTTTATTGTTAATATATTTTTATTTATGAACTATGTTCTAGTGTTACAGATTTTATAATAACGGTATAGTTTGATTTTTTGAATGATAAGCTACAAAACGGCAAGGAATAATCATGTAATAATGTCCATAAAATTTTATATGAATTACTTCTTATTTGAATTATAAAGAGAAATATTATTTTGCGAATGGTTCATTTTGAACATTTTGGGTTAGTGTACAGCTTCCAAGCCGAACTCGAACCACACATTTTTTATTTGCTTCGTGCGTGATGGTAGCACCAACTAAAATATGAACTAAAATGCAATTGTGCGTATATTAACAGACTCATTTTTAATAGAATTCATTATTAAAAAATATATTTTTTTGGTTTTAATAAAAGTATAATGACATTCAACAAGTCAAGAGATTCATTTATTATTATTGTATATTTTTATTACTTCGGCTAAGAAATAAGTATATCTAATAAAGAAATTAAAACGTGCAGAAAATAGGTAAGTAGGCAATAGTATTTCCAAAAAAGTGTATGAAAAGTTGCCTAATCAAATTAAAGGTTAATGTTAAACGTGGATTCCAAATTTATTCATAAATAATATTTTATTATTTTCGAATGTAATTTATATTTATTTTCTTCATTTTTAGTTTAAGAGAAAATATGGTCTTAATTTTTAATTAACTATGTTCCAACCAATCAGTCACAAAATTGAAATCCAGAAACAGCCAATAATATCCTTTCTGAATATGTACTTAAGGAATTTTGAAGAAAATCGCAAAATAATATTTGTTTAGGTATTAAAAACCTTTCAGTTTTCTGATGTCTTCAATAGGTATTACATACTTTTGTTACAAAAATAATTTCTTTGATTTAATTTCCATTTTGCTACTGAAAATTTATATAAATTACACTGTTTTTTTACTAGTATTTTTACAATTTTTACAACATAGCAACTTAGCAACTCCGGTTGCAACCTACCTAATCGCGTTATTTTAAACTTTATATAAAAAAAAAAACAAAAAATAAAAAAAACTCGTAGAGTAAATCCAACAATTTGAAGTTATTAGGCTACCTACCTAGGTTACCTACTAGATGTTCCAATTTAAGAGTTCGTGGCTAGTCTTAATGAAGACGGGGTGATGCCATCTCAAATAAAAAGAATAAGTGAATATAAAGGGCGCCAGCTAAATCGACCAGAGCACCTTAGAGTTACCCACTGATCACCAATTTAACAAATGATCAGTATACTTTCAATAACCTATGAATACTCATCTGTAAAAAAAAATAATAATAATTAAATTTGCAAAGGTAACTTTATTAACAAATCAAAAATAAAAGAATGAATATAGTAAGGTTAAACTTATAAGATAAGTTGTGATTCCGCAGTAGTAATACCAACTACACACTTATTTATAGGCACTATAAAAAATCTTAGACTCTAGTCTATGTAAAAATCTATCTAGAATAAATGCGGTAACTAAGGATGGAATCACTAAATATTATAGCAAGAAGCAGCGACATTAAATATTCTCGACTATGGCGTCGCTTCAGCTCAGGCGCATGGTATATAAAAATAAATAAATAAATGTAAGTACCGACAAAGTAAGCCGTAGTGTTACGCTTACATAAGAAATACCTAAACCCTCGGTAAGCCAGTATATAAATTACTATAACTACTGTCTAAGTACCTATACACCAAATAATATAAATATATACCAAGCAATGAGCAATAAGTAATGAGCAACAAGCAATAAGTAATGAGCAATAAGCAATGATATATGAGCAGTAAGCAATGATATATGACCAATAAGCAATGAGCAATGAACAATGAGCCATGAGCAATGAGCAATGAGCAATAATCAATGAGCAATGATCAATGAGCAATGAGCAATGAGCAATGAGCAATGAGCAATGAGCAATGAGCAATGAGCAATGAGCAATGAGCAATGGGCAATGGGCAATGGGCATTGGGCATTGGGTAATGGGCTATGGGCAATGGGCAATGGGCTATGGGCAATGGGCAATGGGCAATGGGCAATGGGCAATGGGCAATGGGCAATGGGCAATGGGCAATGGGCAACGGGCAACGGGCAACGGGCAACGGGCAACGGGCAACGGGCAACGGGCAACGGGCAACGGGCAACGGGCAACGGGCAACGGGCAACGGGCAACGGGCAACGGGCAACGGGCAACGGGCAACGGGCAACGGGCAACGGGCAACGGGCAACGGGCAACGGGCAACGGGCAACGGGCAACGGGCAACGGGCAACGGGCAACGGGCAACGGGCAACGGGCAACGGGCAACGGGCAACGGGCAACGGGCAACGGGCAACGGGCAACGGGCAACGGGCAACGGGCAACGGGCAACGGGCAACGGGCAACGGGCAACGGGCAACGGGCAACGGGCAACGGGCAACGGGCAACGGGCAACGGGCAACGGGCAACGGGCAACGGGCAACGGACAACGGACAACGGACAACGGACAACGGACAACGGACAACGGACAACGGACAACGGACAACGGACAACGGACAACGGACAACGGACAACGGACAACGGACAACGGACAACGGACAACGGACAACGGACAACGGACAACGGGCAATGAGCAATGAGCAAAATAAAAATGAAAATAATAACAATATTAAAGATTTTGTTGAATTTGTAGTTTACTAAAAGTTGAAATTAACACAAATTATGAATACGGCCCTAAGATGCGCTTACCAAGTGGACTGTCTTCTTTCGGTGCTAGCAGCAAATATTTCCATACTGACAATAAAATTCCAACACTTAGTAAAGAACAATTTATTGTGCAAAAACGCTGCAGGACAACTTTAAAATTTGTACATATTTACACTAAAAACTTGTATTTAAATAACTAGAGTCTTAACACTGCCTTAGGGTTAATATTATTTTTTTATTATTATGTAATCGTTTTTACTAAGATAATAACTGTTATTTATGTAATTGTGCACCACGGCCCAAGGGCGGGTGATTCGTTCTTTGCCATGGGAATATTTCAACGGTTGCTAGCCAACGTGAAGATAGATGCCATGGTTGGCCTTGAGTGTTTCGCGCTGATGCAACTCGGTAGATGCGATTATTGTCACGTACACGTTTGTTTACAGATGGATTCGCGAGAACAGGACCGTCTTTTGATATGTTTCAAACGGTTTTGAAATAGATTCAGTATAACTTGCGTGATCCCAATGGTAGTTTTCTCTTTGAAAATATCGATGAGAAGATTAACCAACGGAACCAGTCAAGCTATTGATGGTACCAATAAATAATTCAAAATACTAGTGATCAGCCAAAAGTACTTCAATAAATCCCAAAAACAGCACGGCAGTTTTCACAAGCAAAACCCAATAAGGACGAAGGTAGCACTTAAAAACACTGAGCATGTGAACTTAATTTTTCCTTTTTCAAGAAGTGATCTTGGGACAATAATACAAAAATACCATAATCCTAATAATCCAGAACATCAATATGTTCCCTACAATCGCAAAACAATCTAAACGGAATCCTTGCCAAGGATCACTTGGATAAGTCAAAAATCTTTTGAATGTTGCATTAGTCACAATCACCCAAACGCTGAACAAGTGACAAAAAGTAAAATCGCGCAGAAGCTTCCCGACCACGAAAAGGATCCATCTTCTCCCAAACCACTAGATGGTCCTAGTGTACATATACCAAAAATTACAAAATAACATCAATCTAAAAGTTATCATTACATGCTATTAAGCTACTTAACCATACTTACACGTAACTGTCCCTAAACCCAAAGAGGTAATATTTATTAAAAAGTCAAGATCTACCAATATCTAATCATAGCATACACGTTTGACAACGCTGTAATCATATGGTCTCCCAAACGAAGGAGAATATGTTACTTAGACCACGGAACCAAAAGTTTAATTAAGATAGAGATGGGACAAAAGAATTAAAAATAATTCAATGAAATTTTAAACAGTTACACAGTTGCTCATTGTATTGCTTTTAATTATTAAAAAAGAAATAAATTGGATACCTACGTATATTTGATATGCCAAAATTACAAATTATCGCCCCAAAATACTCGAATTTTTAAAAAACTGATGTCATACTGCAGCAGAAAACTTATGTCACCTTGACTATTCATTCTGTGACGTCATACCCGCGTCCCTATCAACTGGACGAGACCACCGTATTGTCTACGAACCATGGCCCTGGACCCTTATTCTATAACTCTGGCAGTATTCGTGAATGGTATGCTCTCACAATTTGGCCTTGCTGCGCATGTCATTCGCCTAAAATAATAAGGCATCATGAGTGAGCGGAGAGACAGTGATGGAGCAGTCATGTAGTAGGAGAACTCTCATGAGTTAGTGAATAGATATCGTAGATGCATGACCTGGATACAGGACTGCTCCACCACTCGCCTACTCACAATGATGCCGCTACCAAAATTTTGTTTTTGGTAGATAACTTTGGTTTATATGTGTTTTTATTAGAACGTGCTAAAATCATTGTTTTTTGGGGAAAAAAGAACGAGGAATAAACTCTTTATTAAAAGAAAATAATTATTAAAAATAACCAAAGGAATTCTTTAGTTTTTTGAGATGCTATCAAACTTTGTCAAATATGGCGGCTTGTAGCAGCATTATATACCTTGTGTCGTTTTAGTTAAAATTTATCCAACCGGCCTATTTGGATTACGTATTTTGAATTATATCGTCAAAAGATAAATATCTACTTAAAAATAAAAAACAAAAGAACGAAACTTATATTAAAAAAACTGAAAGTAAAAAAAATAAATATATTAAAAACTAATAAAACAGTATTTAGCATTAAAAAATATGCATTTACTGTGGCAGTGAAGATTTTAAATTATGGTCATTAATTTTTTACAAATTGTGCCGGTTTATTTCGAAGTTATAACACCTTTTTGATTTTAAATACTGTTTTTATGGAGAAAGCCAGAAATTGTGCTAAACTTGTACTAAAACATACTAAAGAATGAAAATCTGTAGAAAATAAGGTCTTTTGATAGATCAGATAGATGGACTGCTAAATCGATAGAAATGGCATCACTATATGACCTACCCTTCTTAAATAGGGATTTCTTAATTTTAGGCGAGTGACATGTGCAGTAAGACCGAATTCTAAGAGAGTACTCCTATACGACTACTCTCACAATTACTGAATATATGTCCTGATAGGAATTTTAAAATTCTGTCAATGTGATTTTATGACTTAAAATGGTTGACATTTTCTTTTTTTTTTATTTTAAAAATTCATTATGACGTTATTATGTATTTGCCCAAGACACAGTTTATAGCTTAAAAGAATCAGTTCGCTCACTCGGACCAATTGGATGTTCCAAAATAACATCCACTCCAGCGATACAAATTCAGGATGCGCAAAAGACTGCTGTTTGAATATAGGCGGTTGTCATATATTGTTTGTACTAGGCATTCCAAACAAATGAACTGCCAGTGGGAAGATTTGATATATCCAAGGGTTGCGACATACGATATATTCTGTTTACAATACGTAAAATCATGAATAATGGATTACATTTAAATATTTTATGTCAAACACAATAAAAATAAGATACATTTTTTCATAAATTGGCAGGCTTTGTGACTATTATTTCGAATAAAAAAACACGTTCAAGATGCAAGACTATGTCTCTACCCTCTTAGATATACCAGACCTTCTCACTGACAGCTATTGTTTGACAGGTCGTTGGAATGCTTAAATGGTAATAGTAAGAGAGCCCACTGCAAATTACGACCGCCATCTGATAACAAAATGAAATATGCTCCAAAGACATGTAACAACATTGTACTTTACCAAATTGCACCTGTGCCAATCTGCAATCCAGAGCAAAGTGGTTAAAAAAAATTATTTTATATTCAAAAAATTACATAAGACATGACAGCAATAATGGTGTTTTCTCTGAAAATTACAATCCTAATTCATTGTGAACCTAGCTTTTAAACCTGAATTATTAATATTTTTATCTAACTTTGGCAGAGATATTCAATAATAATTATAAACTGTTGTTAGACAATTCTTTTAAATCATAATCATAGTAGTTTTTTTGTCGTTTCTATGACAACCTGTAAAAATGAATCACAACAATAGGCATACAAATAAATTCTTAAATCAGCAAAAATTGATTAATATTTTTAATGATTTTTACCTACTAATCGTGTGTAGATGTTTTTGTGCGATGTGAAGAGGAAGAAAATGTTTCCCGTTAACGATATATATATTAAGATATATTTGAATATGTTATTATCTGGAAAACTTTAAGGGTAAACAAAATTAGCGCTGTCATGCTTTATGTGATTTTTTTAATATAAAATATTTTTTTTAAACCTTTGCTCAGGATTGGGATTGTCACAGGTGCCATTCGGTAAAGTACAATGTTTTTACAAGCTTTTGGGGTATATTTTATTTCATTATTAGATGGCGGTAAAAATGTACAGTGGGCTCTTGGGGTATTATGATTTGATTATGTATGCGCCAGGGATACAAATCCGAGTTGCGCATTGTATAAACTGGAACATTGAGATCAAAAGTGCCGACGCAGAGTGAGCGAACTGATTCTTTTAAGCTATAAACTGTGCCCAAGATATGTTACATATGCTTATTTCTCTCAAATTAGGTAATGAATGGACAACCGGTCTAAATCCTTTGTTGCTGATAGCTTAATAAGTAATGATCTTTCAGGTATTTGAATTGATTATTTTTGGTGGTCTTGTAATGATTTTTACTAAATCATTTGTACAAAATAATTATTTTATTAAGAAATATTATGGAAATGTAATGACATTGCCACTTGATGCCACGTTGCGCCTTGCATCAATTTTTATCGGATTTTTATATTTGTCAAGTTTTATTTTCTGATCTAGCTCAAGTTGTCACAGTCTGTTATTAAGATTTCTACCGAGGCCCCCAATCTATGGCGCTTTAATATTGCATTCGTGTCGATGAAAACATTTTCTTACGCCCCTTTTTTAACACATTTCTCCACGTTTTCGCATATTATAAATAAAAAACGGAAAAAAATGTTTCGTTTGTAAGTCTGTTCGTATGTGCGCCGGCACGATAACTCTTAAACGAAAGCGCCGGTTGGTTTTTATTTTCTTTAATAATTTCTTCTAACAGAAAACCCTATTTATTTTTAAAATTTTTGGATCATCTTGAGTGTTTTAAATATCAATTTTTAAAATGCAAAGCATTTCTTGTGGATTTTATTTAATACACTTCAATAAGGCTACTGATTTCACACTATGAGTGACCATAAATATGTTTGTCATCTGTAAAATGCGATATTTTTTCTATGTTGTTTAAATGTGTAAACTGACTGATTTGGTTAATGGTGGGGTAATGGAGGAAATAGAGTAGGGACACAATAAGTGTGTCTATGACTAAAAGAAGTAACGTTTTTAATTAGACAGATAATTTTTCCCTCATTCATTTCCATTCAAGAACGCAAATGAGGATTAAGCCAGATAGCATGTCTTGGGAGATAAGAGTTATCATGAGACACAACCTGATTGTTTAGGATATTGGCATATTCCTAGTTTGAGATAACAAAAGATTTTATTTTTAAAGCGTTGAATTAGACCATGTTTTTGAGTACTTAGTTTGTAAATGACTCAAACTATTCATTAAGAAAATAATTTCGGATCTCAGGATCGATGGTCTCAATATCTTTCATCTCCAAAGTTATCAATATGATTAGAAGTATCTGAAAGTATGTCCTTGATACGCAATAGAAATAATATTATTGAGGTCAAATTCGAACAAACTTTGAATTTGTTGTAAAAAGAAAAGTAACAATTATCAACAGGGTTTTAAATTGGTTTCGCACGGTGCAACCCATACCATAGTCGTTGCCTAATAACCCTCAACTAAAACAATATTATTTGTAGAATAGAAATAATATGTCAATACCTAATAAAAGTTTACTTTTATTTTTTTAGTCATACGATGATCCATATTTGAATTACCAAAGAAAAAATGGTTCTGATGCCACTTTACAAGGTCGTAGGATTTCTATTAGACGTTCGCCGACTACTTCCGAACATCCTGAAGAACTTTTGGTTCATGAACATCTTCAGGATGTCTTACCAGAGGAGGTGTGTATGAGAATTAAAAAAATGGTTATCTATATATACATAATTTATCAAAATGATAATAAAAATGGAGGTTGGTGTAAATTGTGTTGCCTATATATTGCTATAGAGAAACGAGAGTGAATATCTTATTGATTTTACAGCACCGGTCTAGCTCCCAATAAATTTGGGACTGACACAGGTATATAGGTATCCATTACATTCCAAATTGTATAACATTTTTCTAAAGCAATGTTTACATTGATTCTCTTAAACGTCTGGATCAGTCGGCATTCCTAATTGTTTCGCTGAGTAAAAAAGTTAGTTTTTATAATCGTAGCTACTTAGATTCATTGAGAAAAGGATAATCTGATAAACAATTTTCGACGTACTTGTTAATTGGAAATTTATAATCAATTCTGTAATATCAGATAGGTTTAAGTCTCTAAAAATATTATAGACCAGCAAGTAGGTGAAAAATTTAACATTAATTCTAACATTTTTTAAACGTCGTTGTAAAATTAATTACTAGTTGATTTTCAACTTGATCCAGGGTCGGCAACATTGTTAAAACTATATTTTCTAAATTTGCAGCCACTTAGGACTCTGGAAAACTAATTAATTGCTGTTAATTAATCAATATTAATATGCTCGCATTAACACAGTATACTTGTTAAAATATGCAACTCTCTGGTGCGTTTTTTTACAATTTACAAGATTTTTTTTTTATTTATCTGAAAGTGGTTCTTTAAAATTGTTACTGTCTTCTCTGTATCTGTAACGTGTAACAGTAGAGGTGATAGCACCCCTCCTTGTGGACATCCCCTTGCAACCAAGCCTCTTAAATGCACATCTTCTACACTTATGTTTACTGCTCGCTTTGAGAACATCTTATGTATCCACTCACTAACCATTTTTGGAACATTCCTGTTGGTTAGTGAGTGTTACTGTAAATACCAAATTATTCCTCTACTTTAAAATTGATGTCGTACAATATTGTACTTCCTTGTTTTGTGACGATATTACACTTTGTTGTCTCGCTTTGGGCCCAGCTCGAGCTACCTTTTAACATTTAACATTTTTGATTAACTTTGAAAACAAATAACTAGAAAAAATTGTTAAATAGGATGGTTGCCTAATTTTCTTTTTTTTGTCTTAAATTATGCACTGCTTTATTATTTACTTCTTCTTCTTCTTCATTTGGTCTCTTCTTTCAATATTTTGTTCTCCTGTGGTTTAATCCTCATCTGTTGTTTCACATTTGAAAAGTTGTTTAGTTTTTACCATTCTTAGATGTCCTTTGTGTGCTTATTCAATTGCTTTCTGTTGAAGTTATGTAGGTAAAACTATTCTTGATCTTTGAAGAATTATATCATTTTCAACAGTTAGCTCATCTTTTTGTTTCTTAAAATGTTTTAATTCTGGTGTTGTCCATATCTCCTTGTCCTCAATGTGAATTGCAAATGTTAGTTTCAAAAGAATTGTAATTCTCTGTTTCTGACCTCACTTTTTCCACTGACATTTCGTTTGGAAGACTATATTTTATCAGAACATTTACCTTGTCAGAATCAGGTCCTTAGAATGTTTCTAGATATATAGATAGCTAATCTGAAGGGTTTGTTGAGCCTTTTTGGTGCACCACTTTAAATTCGTATGGTTGTATTTTTAGTAATAGACGTTTAATTCTAGCAATTGGAACGGTTTTACAATTTTATAATATTTTTACGAGGGGCAGATGATCATTATACAATGTAAATATAGAGCCATAAAAATACAAATTAAAATTTTGTATTGTCCAACTGGCTGCTGTTTTCTTCTCAATTTAGCCATATCTGCTCTTCGTTTCAGTCACTAAACGACTAGCAAATGCCAAAATATTAGTGTTTGATCTTAATTCCTGTTATATAATTGCGCCTATATGGTATGTGGACTTGCATCTACATATAAGTTTGTTGGATTATTAATGTCATAGTAAGCTAACTTTGTTACATCGTTTATCTAGTGTTCTAGATATTGAAACACTTTATTTTTTAGTCTATTCCTCTTCTGAATCTTTTATTATCAAGTCTCTTAGTACATTAGTGTTTTCTGTTGATTTTGGAAGGACTTTTCCAATGTAATTTATCATCTCAACTATATTTCGTATTTTACTACTATTAGTGGGTGCTTTTAAGTTCAGAAATGCCTGGACTTTTTTGGTTCAGGATGAATACCTTTATTTGAAAATATATTTTCAAAAAGTTTATCTTATTTTTATTAAACACACATTTTGTTTTATTGACTGTTAGTCAATTTTTTTTAGTCTAGTTAGTACTGTTTTTAGAGCTTTGTTGTGTTGTCGAAAACTTAAAATGTTATCACTTAAGTTAATTACATCTGGTATATTTGTGAATAACTATGGTCTGTTCCAACAACGGTCAATAATCTACTGCGCAGAATCCTGGTGTCAGTCACTAGTTTCTGATCGTTATTTGAACAAACCTTGTGTTACCGTAATAAAAAAAATCATGCAGAAGTATTGATGCCAAAACTTAAACGCTTATAACGGCAAAGTCCTCTATGAGTTGTTAAGAACAAGTTGGTGATATCTATATTCGATCAATTTTACTAAATTTGCTCTATGATGTCATCTATAGTGAGTGTGATGTGTAACTCTTAATATTGCTTTTTGAGATCTCTCATCTCTACATATATTCAAATTGCGTCTGAATTTTATTTTGGCACAATCACTATTGCTCATAGCCATGGTGTAGGACCTTCTGCTTATTCGAGACGATCAAACTCTTTTTTCTAATTTGTCTCTGAGGTGAAAGGGAATTTTTCGATGCTTTTGAGCTCCTGGCATAATGTTTGAGTTAATATACAGCTTAACTGCTCTGTTGAATAACTTGCCAATGCCATTTAATACTTCAGGAAAATGTTCCTCTATAAATTTTAAATCATTAACTTTGTTCACATTTAATACTAGTTGAATTAGTTCTAGTGAATTACCTTAGCTAAGCAAGCAGTCACAATAACTGTTGACAATATAGACATTTTTTGCTTGTAATGACTGTTCATTCTTTTTAAAATTTCCACACAATTGTTCTTTCACTTCTAACTTTTCTTTCAAGCAGTATGGAAAAATGTTAGTTGTTTCAATATAGAGTTCTTGTTTGGGCGACTTTGAAAATGTTCTACCATTGGTTAAATTAACAATTGTGCCCGTGTCTACAATAAACTTATTTTTTTTACATTTAGCCACGCCTAAATAGGTAGTTCAAAAATGTCTGTTCAAATTAACGTGAAAAGAAAATTCATCTGAGCTTTCAGTGTCGTTACGGTGCTGTTTAAATTAACTTGTTTTGGCTTACGTTCATTCATATAATTTTTTGATAGGCACATCTTGGGAAAATGTCTAATTTTCTTAAACTTTTGGTACTGAATGTTCATAGCTGGACAATTATATCGGCCTTTAGGATGCCTTGATTACTTGCAAATTTAAATCTGTTTTTGGTTATAATTTTTGGTTTTATAATTTTCGTGTTTCTTTTTTTTTATTTCACTTTGGATACCACTTGTTTATTTTCTGGAGGTATGACAGGTGTGTTTCAATTAGCTCCAAAATGTTGGCTTGTGCTAACATATGTCCTAATGAAGGTGTTTCTTGTACCTTCATTAGTTTTCATTGTGTCATACTATATGATTTGTGACTTAATTTTTTTAAATTTTTATCTGGAAAATCACAATTTACATTTAAGTTTAATAATCTTGTGTAATAATACTTTTCTATAATAATAATATAATACTCTTCTACTTACGAGACTTATAAGACTCTCGTTGAGAGGAATGTTTTTAAAAAGAATTTTTATTACTATTGCTTGAATAAAAACCCAAAATAAATTATATTTAATATTTAATGATAATGTTATCATTACAAGCTATGATATCAGACTGACTTTATTTTATTAAAATGTTACTTTGAGAAAAAATTAGAGTCAGCAATTCACACACACTTCACATAGGTTCAGTAACACTGCCGGCAACCCGATACCGTTTTCCTGTAAAAGGTATATGGGGTCATCGATCATAACTCCTCCACCCTTGGACCTTGGCATATTTTACGGAGTGAAAAATGCCCTTGGAATTGGATTGGGGGCTTCAAGTGGTTGACTTTCTTCTATAGCTTCTTCTTTTTTAACTTGGGATGTCGGTAAATTTGATTTTTTCTTATCTCTAATAAATTAAATGGTGGCATAAACTATGACAACTCCTAATAATAAATACATTATAATATTTAAAGGATTTACTGAATAATTGTTTTTGAGGTGGTGCAATATTATTGGTTTTATTTGATTCTGTCTCGCTTGAATTAAATGAATTTCATCAAGAGGTTCGTCTTTTAAATTAATTTCTGCTATTTCTTCTGTATTTCTGGAGTACGGGATGGTTATCTCTGGTAGCAATAGGGGTTGGCCCCTTGACAGAAAATTTTCATTGTTAAACATTTTGTTTTCATTTTTAATTTGGCATTGGTACGGTATAAAAATTAAATAATTTCCTTGAAGTATAGTAAAATCAGTCCTACCACATTTAGTTTCGATTTTAGTTTTATTCACAAAAATACCAATATAGTGTGATTCGTCAATTTGTTGGATAACATTCCTTGATACTTTGATTGGCGATCTTTGGCATCTCCTGGTATTGGATTGCAATTGGAGCAACTGAAATATGCAATCCTCTGTTTCAATTCCATCGGCTAGGTCATCATCAGTACAGTAGTAGTTGGTTTTCAGGTTGATACATGGTAGCGATGTGTATTGGTAGAGGTTTTCGTTCATCATCAGATATGTATTGCGAGGAATTATAGTTGTGGAATTTAGGGTAAGAATTGAATAAAGGTGATAGTATGAAAAGTTTTCAGGAAAAACTATGGGAAAATGGAGAGCGAAAACGATCTTAGAATCAGAATAATAAGCATATATTTTTAGAATTTCATAGTATTTGTAAGTATCGTTGATTGAATTTGTAAAAAGAAGTTCGTCTATCGAATGGTACTTTAAAACAGTTTTTATTACTGATTTTATCTTTTCTGGTTTTATTATGGTAGGATGTAAAACTCCTAATCGTGCAAACGTTACAGAATTTTCTATTTCTCCTAAAAGTTGTATAATGATGCTTAAACTTAAATTTAATTGATCTAAAATATTTCGAGTTTGTAAGTAATCATTAAATTGAAAAACAAATTGATTTAAAGCAGTTCGAATTCTTTCTATTCCTGCACATATTACTTTTTGGTTACTTTTTATTAAAGATATTGTTTTGTTAAAATTTTGAATAATATCTTTTGTAAGTGAAATTTGTTGATTTATTTTTTGTACAATTTCCAATTCATTGTTTTGAAGATCTGAAATGGCTTGATCATAGTAAAATGCATCATTTGCATCTAAATTGCCAGAAATACTCTTAATTATAGAACCTAAACCATCAATAAGACCACGTTTTACTCTACTAGGAGGCATTAGGGAATTTAATTTGTTATCTGCTAATGTTAATTGATAAAGAAGTGCTCGATCAAAATTTTCTAACTATATATGATAAGGGCTGCTAAGCTTATCTTGAATGGCATCAGTTACATTTTTGTAGGCAAATTTTAAAATTTCAATTTCATCTTTTATAGGTGCTAAATCATAATAATGGAGAAATGTATGTACCGTTGATTTTACTTTAGCTGTGCCTAAAAGATAGGGAAGGATACCAGGATTATTAATTAGGTTCGTCAATTGTATCTCTTGAGGCCTTACTTGTAGAGGGACCAGGATCATTAGGATCAGTGGCATCCTGTAAAAGTTTTGTCTTGTTAGTTTTTGGTCTTTTAAGTATTTGTTTATGTAATAAAGCCTTTTTATGAGTTTTTACTTTTATACTTTCATTATCTAAAACTTTCTTTATAGAATTTTGGATTTAACTTGTTTCTGACTTGAGTTGTATTTTTTCTGTAAACGTCAGTGTCAGGTATGTACGTTAGTGGTTCATGTCGATCTTTAGTGTGATATTCTATTGTCTTTTCTTTCTGCGAGATTAGTTTCTCATTTAATTTTTTGTAAATTTCGGTTGTGGTTTCCCTATGTTCCTGAATGTAATTGTTAATTAATTTTTGATTAATGTCGATATCGAAAAAATCTTTTTCTACACCCGTATTATAATAATGCACTTATATGCCCATAATCCGTTTCATAATGAAACCCATTATGATACAGATTTTTCATTACGATACAGATTTTTCATTACGATACAGATTTTTCATTACGATACAGATTTTTCATTACGATACAGATTTTTAATCAATAGAAACCTACAATTTTTCAATCAAGCATGCTGTTTGACGTTTGTCCTAGGTTCCTATGTATTTGTTTTAGTTGTCAAAACGTATTAAATTTTGGTAGATAACTAAACTTCGTTAATTATAATATTAAAATGTCTGATATCAGCGATATAGAAGACTCCTCCACACATATCGGAGAAAGCAGAAAATACAGTACAAAATATTTTGCCGCAAAAATCTAGGGAAATACCAATACCCGAAGTAATACCATTAATTACAATTTTGTAGAATTTTTTATAGAAATACACGAGTAATTATTGTTATTGTGTTCAATACCAATATGAATATAATATTTATAGTTCTTGATTATTTATCGGGTGTAGAAAAAATAGCGTATGCAACTCTCATGTAATGGTTATTAATACACTCGCATAAACCATACGAAACTCGCCTTTGGCTCGTTTCGTATCCCGGTTAATGCTCGTGTATTAATAACCATCATTACATGATCGTTGCATAATATACTATTATAATCAAAATGACCAGTTATAACGTCAATTGGTTTTTGTTTAGTCACAGAGTGTATAGAATTATTATATCCGAAAATAGAATAAGGCATATCATTTAAAATGTCAATTTTACCATTATTTTTTGCTTTAATAATTCTTAAATGTTCAATGATTGTTGAATGTAAACGCTCGATTGCGCCTTTTGACTGAGAACTATTGGGTGAAACATAATGACTTTTGGTTTTATGAACATCTAAAAATTCCTGAAGCATTGAGTTTTTTAATTCACTTCCATTGTCCATTATAATAAGATTAGGTGAACCATGATGTGTCATGAAAATTAAAAGACCTTTAATAATTTCTATCCCTGTCAATGCTGCAAGTGGGTATGCTTGCCCATATTTTGAAAAGGTATCAATTATTGTTAAATATTTTTGGCCTTGTGCTGAGAATCCATCAATGTAAATAATTTCAAATGGTCTAGAAGGGGTAGGGGTTATCAATAACTTTTGTTTCGGAGGATTCCGATCATATTTTGTAGATTGACAAATTTCACAACGATTAATAAATTCGGCAACGTCATTTTTCTGGCTTGGCCAATAGTATGTCTGTCTTATTCTTGTCTCTGTCTCCAGTATTCCACGATGGTTTGTTTTACCTTCGTGAAAATTTCTAATTAGTTCGTGTTGTTCGTCTTTGTTCGTTATGTCGCTTAATAGAGTCTTACATTGAATTAATTTATAAGCCGAATTTTTGAAAGTTTCTCTCAAAACTTCCAATATTAGGGATATATAATTTTCGTTTGCATTTTCATTTTTAAAATATACTGCATGAGTAAATTTTGGAACGATATAATTTTTAAACAAGTGAATTGTGCTTTTTTTTATATTATTTATTGCAATTTGTACATGTAGTCGTTTTTTTGTTGGGAACAATTGTTCTATTTTTGGTTTAGCGGCAGAATATAAGACAAAATCAATAAATATTTGGTGATCATATGAATTTATACATTTTTCAGAAATTTTCATTCCTAAAATAGGTTCTTCAATACTGGTATGATTAGTTTCGTCGTCATTGTCATTTTCATTGTTGTCATTAATTTCGTCATGCTCGTCAGTGTCTTTTTCGCGCTCTGACTGTTCGTCACCCATATTAGCTATTACCGAATAATTATCTTCGTCTTGTCTTTCATTTAACATTGATTCAATAAAATTTTCTATATAATAATCAGTTAATTCGTTAGTATTTATTTCTACTCGAGAGATGACATCGGAGTTAGTATTTGCTTCATTCCTTTTATTATGAATTTCGAAATCAGTTATATTACAAGTTTCGTCAAAATCTAATCCATCTTTAGCTTTTGAAAGACTGGACGGAATCTCACAATTATTAACAATTTGTTTTGAAATTAAAATATCATCTTTTTTTGTGATACTGAATTTTTTGCTAAAATATTGCTATGAGGATCTAATCTTCTTTTAAAATTAGTTTTTCTTTTATTTACAAGATAATGTATTGGTATAATATTGTTGGGGGTAATTAATTTTGAGTTTAGAAAATCTATTTGAGCGTTAAGCAATTTTAAATCCTGCAGACCTATTAGTCCGTCAAAGACATTGTGAAAATTAAATAGGTGAAACTTTATAATTCCATATTGATTAAATTCTGGAAATATCGGAATGTTTGCACAATTTTGACGAGTAGAACTTTGATAAACAGATGAAACAATAAAGGGTTCTCTAAAAATGTTTTCTTTATATAATTTAAATGCAATTTCAGGCCTTAAAATGGATTTTGTAGCACCTGAATCTATTAAAAGCTTAAGGGGTGGATTTGAAATTTTTATGTAAGGTAATTCTTTTTCATCCGAGAAAACGTTTAGTTCAATTAGGTTATTTGATCCGTCGAGACATTCCTTCGAAAATTTTCAAATTCGTCATCTACGTATTCAAAGATTTGTCCATTGTAGTCAACTATTTCGTCATTTACTGATTGTTTTGAGGAAATGTCGGCATTAAATAATTCTTCAGAAACAAAATTACGTTCCTGATTAAAATTTTGAAAATTATTATAACCTTGGTTTCGAGCTTGGGGTGTAGTATTTCTTGTCGTTGTACTCATAGGGGTAGCTTTGGGTTGGACATAATTGGAATTTGGTTTCCATACATTTTGGGGTTTTCCGAAAACTTGATTATTTGTTGGAAATCTAGGTTGAGGAGGACTTGGATGCCTTTGAATTTGAATAGGCCCTCTGGGGAATTGAGATGAGGTTGAGGGTTGTGAATAATTCTGATAATGATCTCGAGAATTTTGGGGAAATCGAAATAAATTTGGACGATTATAATTATTATTAGTAGGATTTATTGGTCTCCTGGAAATATTACTAGCGATTTGATTTGAATTAGAATAATTTTGACCTTTTTGATAATATTTAACATTATTTTCCTCCCGTACAAATTGAATTGCCTGTTGCAAAGTTGTCGGTCTCATTGCACGAATTATAGGACCTAATGGGTCTTTTAACCCAGCTAAAAATGATTTTAAATCCTGTTTAGTGAAAAATTATCTTTTTGAATCTCGTTCGGCCCCTTGGCAATGCAAATCAATGTAATTGCAAACTGTATTAAGCAAAGCGATAATTCTTTTATGAAATTCATAAGGAGATTCGTTATTTCCCTGCTTCATATTGACTAAATCTTGATTTAAACAATTTTCATCTCTTTTATCACCAAAATTTTCGATTAATGCATTTTTTATATCAGGCCAAGTATCGGCACCGGTAATTGCCACTACTTTCTCATCTCTACCTTCTAACTTATTTAAAATACCATTTAATAGTAAAATATTTAGAAAATTATTAGGATTTTCCCTATCATAATAATGATTTAAAATTGATTCCGTTATATTGATAATTCTATGTAATTTATTAACGTTTCCGTCAAAAGTTGGAATAACAGTTAGACTTTTCATATCTAATGCCGGCACGACCATGTTTTCAACAATAATCAAATTATTAAAATTATTTATTAGCTCTGAATCTACGTTAGTTGAATTTAATATATTATTGATATAATCTAACTCTTCCATACTATCGATTTCGCTTAAGGATTCGCTAGGAGAAGAGGAGTCTGACATGAATTAAAACTTACCACATCGGTATATTGCTTCTGCGGCTGGTACTTTTTCTGTTGCCCACTGGTTTCCTCGATGGAGCCCAAAGGAACTGGAATTTCTTAACTGGATTCGGTTTTTCGTTAAAGAGTTAAAACTCATGGATTTTCCACGATGGATTTTTCCGACGAAAATCCTACTGACTGCGCCACTTATAAGTCTCTCGTTGAGAGGAATGTTTTTAAAAATAATTTTTATTACTATTACTTGAATAAAAACCCAAAATAAATTATATTTAATATTTAATGATAATGTTATCGTCACAAGCTATGATATCAGACTGACTTTATTTTATAAAAATGTTACTATGAGAAAAAATTAGAGTCAGCAATTCACACACACTTCACATAGGTTCAGTAACACTGCCGGCAACCCGATACCGTTTTCCTGTAAAAGGTATATGGAGTCATCGATCATAACTCGAGTGAATTTCAATCCTTGAAGCCGACTGAGCGACTTGTGTAGGGGAAGGGACGGCTATATTTATTATTTACCGATAGCACATAGCGATTTTTATATTCTGTAGGTTATATCAAATCCATCAAATCCTATAAAGAACCTTGCAAATAAATTCACAAGGTCTTCCGTAGGATTCGAAGCCGGTGTCTTTTTTACACCAAAATTGGCTCGCAAATGAATGCGGCGCCATAAACACCTACGCTACCGTAATCTAAGGTTTCATCTTCTTTTTGTTTAGTCTGTCTATATTTTAAAATTTCATATTCCATGTTTACTTTTGGAACGAAATAATTGTGAAATTTTAATTGTGCTGTTTCATATTTGTTAGGCTTAACTTAACTAATTTTCACCGGCATTTAAGGCAATATTAGCACGTATACTGTTATTTTGCAAGCATGTTAATATTGTGGTTGCAAAATGAGATTTAATAAAGTTAATTAACGGTAATTAATTACTTTGTCGGAGTTACAGGTGGCTGCAAATGCAACTCCAATCTTTAATATTAAAACAAAAATGGCATTAAATTTGGAGCTATGTTACATTTTTAAACGTTCACAAATGCATGATTTTAGTTTTCTGTCATTTTTAGAATGTTGCCGACCCTGTATCGTCTTGCAAAATTGGCTAGTTTCGGTTGAATCGCTACTTTATCTTACTACGAAGTTGTTCATCTTCAGCTACAGAAAATCTTGTTTGAGATTCTTCGCCCGCCATATTCAATTAAAAAACAAGTCACTTCCGAACGGCGTTGCGTGATTGACTGCTCTTGAGTCACAGCCTACGTTTCACGCAAGCGCACTCCGTTCAATACTGCGGAACACGCAGCTAGGAAAACGTAGTTTAAGCACTGGTCATTGATATCAAAAGTTTTTAAATAAAATATGCACGAAATTTTTCATCGTTCATTTTAAATAGTGCATATAGAGAGTATCAAAGAAATCACAAACTTTATATTTTTTAAGGTACTTACCGAGCCTGGTTTAATCGTACCGGAAATACACGAGGAAGAACCCGAACAAAGGCCAAAGATAACGGCTCAACAGAGATGGTTATGGGCGTACAACAAGATCATAATGCAGCTGGATGTGAGTACAATTTTTATTTTATACTTGTTTGAGAACATGCTAAAATCGGAATTAAAACGATATGTTACATACCCAAGTAAAATAAGAAGAATACTGTATTTTACACACGACTATTATATAATTTTTCATTTTGTAAAAAAATACGTTTGAAATTTACAACTTAAAATAAAAATTTAACTCATTTTTTAAAGTTTTAGTTACATATTAGAAAAGAAAGTATTAATTGCAACTTAAGTTGGAAAAACAAAATGAAAAAGAAATTAAAATTTACAGTGTGTTACAGTTACAGGTCTTAAACATTTAGTAAAATTTTCAATTTAGTACAAAATATTTATATAAACATAGGTCGTCAAACGTTTAGTTTTCGATATTCAACTGTTCAAGTTTAATTTTAAAATAATATGAGAAATTCTATTATGGACCCTTTATGGATTAACATTACCGTAACTTTTTCTCGATGTAGCTACTTTAATTAAAAAAAAATATATTATTTTATGTACCCTTCTTAACAAAAAAATATCCTTTTCAAAACCTGATAAAGTTTGTAATTTTTGAGAGATTTGTAGTTTTATTGTTGGATGTAACCTATTTTTCGTAGGATGAATCATGTATCCAGAACGTATTACAGATTTAACAAGGGTAAATTTCTTTTTTTTTTAAATGAAATAAAGTAAAATAGTTTGTAAAAAAAATGTTAAAAACCTTAAAAAATATTTTAGCATGTTCTCATTTTTTTTATATAAATTTTGGAGTTCATCAGCAAAAACTGAAAATCTGTTAAAATAATTTTCTCAAAAAAAAATGTATCATGGAATAATTTGCTCAACAATTGAAGAGGATCACTTAAAGGTAAGTGCGAATTTTATATATCTATCTACATAAAAAAAAAATTAAATAGGTGTAAGGATAATTTCCACTCATAAATATAAATGTTATTTATAAAATATTAAACAAAACTTAACTAAAATAATTATCAGCAAACATTATAAACATAATATTTTTAATAGAAACGTTTTAATTTTAATGTAACATTTTTTTATATAATAATGAATGTTTATATGAAGAAATAGTTGTTCCAAATTCTTTAGAGATTTTGTCTGTTTATTAGTTTGAAAAAACGTAGGTACATCATGTTATATATGTATACAGGGTGAGTCGGGAGGAGCGCACCAAACTCTAGGAGTATATTATAAATGTGAAAATAATGTAAAAAAACTCATATGTTCTTATCCGATTTTCATTTGTTTTCAAGTTATAGCATATTAACAAATAAACAAATTTACACCTAAAATTCTCTTAATCATAGCGTTCTTTCAATAAATGTTCAAAAATACCGCCATTGACTTCTAAACATTTTCTGCTTCGTCTACGAAGAGCGTTTGTAGCTCTTCTAAATTCGAAATTAAACGTTCAGTTATCAAATGCCTTTTAGACTTGAACATATGGCATACTTTGATAATGTTAAAATTCAGAAGTGAAAAGCTAGATGAACATTTTTAATTACGCCATAACTTTAAAACAAATGAAAATCGGATAATTTTACATTATTTTCACGTGTATAATATACTCATAGAGTTTGGTGCGCTCCTCCCGACTCACCCTGTATATGTATGTATACCATGTGATCAAATTGACCCTTCACAAATTATTGATAAAAAATACTTTATTGTCCAAACAGGTTAAACCCCAATTAGAGGACACATACCATAAAAAAATATATGTATACATTTATAAATATTCCTAATTTAAAGAAAATAACTTAACATACTTAAATTAATAGCTTTGTACTTCACATATTTTAGATCTATTAATATTGTCTGAGTAAAGTACTCATTAATTTTACGTTTAATACTTGTAAAAGAGTCAAAGTTTATGTCCAAATTTAATTCAGCTACATATCTGTTAAAATTGTTGCAAATGATATAGGTAGATCAATTTGTCAAAATATTTGTTCGAACTGTGGGCAACTTATTGAAATGCGGTTCACTAAATTTAATTTATTGAGTTGAATAAAACAATTAGATATATTTCTGAAATCCTTACAACTTCTCAACTTTTGGCTGTGGATGTAATGTTAAATAAATGAGGCAAAAAGCTTAAACTTGTTAAATTCGACTGAAAAAATCCCGTATTGTCTGCACTTCCTCAAGTGGGTTATTCTGTATTTATAGCCCAAGAGCCCACTGCAAATTTTTACCGTCATCTGATAACGAAATGAAATATACCCCAAAAGCATGTAAAAACATTGTACTTTACTAAATGGCACCTGTGCCTATTCCAATCCTGAGCAAAGTAGATTAAAAAATTTATTTTATATTAAAAAAATCACATAAAGCATGACAGCGCTAATTTTGTTTGCCTTTAAAGATTTCCAGAAAATAACATTTAAATATATCTTGATGTACATCGTTAAAGGGAAACATTTTCTTCCTCTTAACATCGTACAAAAACATCTATCCACGATTAGTAGGTAAAAATCATTAAAAATATGAATCAATTTTTGCTGATTTAAAAATTTATTTTTATGCCTATAGTTGTGATTCATTTTTACAGGTTGCCATAGAAACGACAAAAAAACTACTATGATTATGGTTTAAAAGAATTGTCTAACAAGAGTTTATGATTATTATTGACTATCTCTGTAAACGGTTTATACAATGCCATCCTTCTTCATTTCACATATACACATGGTTTAAAATGTAGGTAAAAATATTAATAATTCATGTTTAAAAGCTAGGTGCACTATGAATTAGGATTGTAATTTTCAGGGAAAACACAATTGTCGCTGTCATGTCTTATGTGATTTTTTGAATATAAAATTATTTTTTTTAAACCATTTTGCTCAGGATAAAGATAGGCACAGGTGCAATTTGGTAAAGTACAATGTTGTTAGATACCTTTGGAGCATATTTCATTTCGTTTTCAGATGACGGTCGAAATTTGCAGTGGGCTCTCATACTATTAGTATTCAAGCGTTTGTTTGAAAATTTCAAAAACTTGCATTTAATCTTATTGCTTATTGTCATTGAGGAAAAATATTATTTAAAAAAATACGCGTGGCACTCGGGGACTGTCGCGGTAAAGCTATTGCATAGCATTTTTTATCAACTTATTTAATTATAATTATTTATTTATTTTATTTATGCAGTATTTTTGAATTAATTCAAGTTTTTTCTTTGATATTAATTCAAGTTACACTTTTTGAGCGTGGTGACCGATAAGAGAACAATTTTTTTTCTTTTATTGAATAATTGAGAAGTTAATATTGTTTAAAATATTTTTATTATCTTACATACATGTAGGTTATTCAGGAAATAAGAAACATAAGTTTGAATATCTGGAAAATACCGCGTCAATGGTGGTCCCCTATTTTGTTGTGGATTCTTATCGATCATTATTATTTTCAAATTCAGTTTTTCCGAAATTGTGTCTAAAAGAGAAAATCAGTTATGAGCAGTTAGCAGCTAGTCTATACGCATACTTCTAGTCGTACGCACACAAACACCGTGCCGAAGTCTGCCGAACTGAAACGACGTTAGACAATGCATACAATGGTTTATTTTCGCGGAATTTCTTGATTCGATCGCCGCGCTCAAAGCCCGCGATAAAAGCTATGCAATTAATATTTAATATTTACGCTAGCCGGGAACATTTTTGATACCAATATATGAGAAGCCAGAGAAAGCTCTTCTAGTTCTTGTATTGCATAAATGTTCCAGTCCGCAGACGTATATTTAACTCCGCTTCATACTAATACGAATAGGGTCAAATAAAACCTTCCATGGCTTTAACGCCGCACCGCTGTGTCGGTCGGAGTGGGGGATGTTAGGTTTATTTTCGTTACGGTGTTACGAAATTTCTTGATTCGGTCGCCGCTCAAAGCCCGCGATAAAAGCTATGCAATAGCTTAAAAGTGTGAAAAATATTTTATATTTTTTTAGTCATGTATTTTCAAAATGTTTTGTGAAGATTACAATCGCAGATAATAATTTGGCCATTAGTATTTAATATTTATAATTTCTAAAACAGAAAATATAGCATTTCCTAATTCAAATATTTTTAAACAAAAAAAGTCCCCTCCTAGTACACTTTCCTGATGATCTTCAAATCTTCTGAAATGTCGTCAAATCTCAATATGTTATTGATGCTTAATATTCAGCATCATACATGCATTAAAATGTAGGAATATTTTCGATCCATTTTCAAATAAAGAATTTGATGGTGGTCCTGCATTTACGAAACGTCGAATAAAAAAATTAAATATTCATAGTATGTATAACTTGACACAAAACAAAAAAGTTTAAAAGAGCGTTTTTCTATTTTTTAAATAAACCTACTGTTGTGGAATAACGAAATGTTTTTTATCAAATATCTCAAAAACCGGCTTTAATATTTTTCGTTTCGAAAACTTATCAGATTGAGCTTCAAAATATACAACTTTTCTCCAATTAACCAACTTTTTGTGTTATCAACGGTTTATACAGGATGTTCCATGAAGTTGGATCCATATGGGATTCTTTTTAATATTACGATTAGAAAAAAAAAACGTCGTAAGGCATTTACTTGTGCTTTTTTAAATACTCAAAATAACCAATATTAGTTGGCTGAGTGCTGCATTATTTGGTATTTTTTTAAAAAATCGTTAAAAAAACTTCTTTTATTGCGTATTTGCTATTTTCAGTTGCCAGCACTGATATTGGCTATTTTAAGTTTTTAAATAAGCATAGGTGACTGCCCTACGACGTTTTTTTCCAATTGTATTATTAAAAAAAATTCCCATATGGACCCACTTTATGGCATACACTGTACATCAATTAAAACATGGCCGAACTGTATACTGTATATTCAATAACTTTTTACAAGTTAAAGTAAATAAATTGGCACACACCATCAAAAAAGAATTAATGCTCTAAAAACCCCGAAAAAGAACTAATCGGTTTATTATTATTGAATGAAAAATTGATTAAAAGTGTGTTGATAAAAATGAACGCCAGGACATA